ACGGGAGCTGCACATATAGCTGATGCATTCACAACCAATTTGTTCAGGTTTCATGGGGTATGTACAGCTCGTCATGCTTTCCTCAAGCACATACTTTTTTTGAACAGTGCAGTTCTGTGCAGACTCAACTGCTATCCTTGTAGCTCTCAGTTTCCCTCCCCCCTACCTCTCCTAAAAGTTGAGTAGTCAGATATTAAATTAGTCCCGCCATTTATAATGGGGTTTGCTCATATTGCTTAAAATCTAGTCAGGGTGGCATAGGTTATTGTATCAAACACAGTTTTAAGTTTCCTTGGTCTAATGTCAAGATTACACTGTGTATCAATAACCAAAATTAGAATAAGAAGACACAGAAGAGATTTATTCTTCTTTCTACTTTATTATAATACAAGAAAAACAAACCTAGAAAGCACATTTAATGGAGCACCATATTGTAACAAACTTTGCTGGCTCTCCTACGAAGTGTATTTTTGACATTTAAACAATGACACACACAAAGTCAGTACACACATGCATCTACACCCCAGCAATCTTTTTAACGGCCCCAAAGAGACTTCTTTCAAATACAGACACACTAAGGTGCACAGAGGAATGCCAGTGTGGGGGCATCTGAACGCCAACTGAGTTAATTACTCTTTTGTTAGCGATCTTCATAAGCACACAAGCCTTCATTGTCTCACCCCAATCTTTCTTCTCTGAAGCCTCCAAATTGGGCCCAAAGGTCACTGAACATGGATCCAGCACAGATGTGGTGTAGAGTTGAGCAAAACTGGCCAATATTCCCTACCTGATACCTCTAACTGCTTTGGTCATAGTACTGCATGGAAGTCTTAAAACCTCTTAAACCTACACTCTACAACACAGAAAAGCCACTTTCACACATACAGAAACAACCTTCCTCCCCACACACACTTCAACGCACAGCACTGATACCTTTTTGAGAAGCTTTGTGGGTTTCCCCACCAAGATCACCTTCATAAAAATGACTGCATTTTGCTTTTCAATGTGTTCAGACAGCTGTTCAGCAATATATTTCTTAATATATCTCTTTCTTTTTAACAGACAGGGCATGTTTTCCTGCTGCCTTAAATTTATGTCATTGTCTACACAAGCAAGATCAAAATCCTATCGTTTTCATCTGTACAAAATGTTTTGCATTCATTTTATACAGTGCTAAGTAATGATGCTAAACACAGAACAATGTAGAATGATAGCTCAGAATAGCTTTTTACCTTGATCAAAATGAAAAAGTACTGGAAGTTTCCCATACTAGTGCTGAGACACAGTACCGGGGTCTTATTATATACAGTAGCCTTCCATAATACTTCCAGGCACCTATTTAGTGAGCTATAGCTCAATATGTATGTCACACTGAAGCACCTCAAGTAATGTGGTTTTGGGCCCTCAAATAGTGAAAATAAGGGGGGGGGGGAAATTAGCCTCACAGCAGAGTAGAGCAATTGTTAATTACTGTGCTAACAAAGTAGCAAAATTTCTGCCTGGACCCAAAACAACCCACTGTTAAAATAATTTGGGGTATCTGACATATGGCCACTTCTATCATTAACTGAGGACAACTGATGAAATGTAATTTAAAACCTTTTCTATAAAATGTTTTCATTTTGTCAAAAAAAAAAAAAAAAAAAAAGCAAAGAACTTGAATTTCTATCAGCCACTTAAAAAAGATATTTTTTTCCTCTAAACCCATTTCTCTTTTAAATACTTCCTCTGCTTTCTGACTTCACATTTTCTGGGGAAATTTAAGCATTTGCAAACTGTATTTCTGCCTTGATAATCAGTGAGGCTGAACTATCTTTAAGTTTTGGGCAGGGTAATGCATTCGTGTGCCAAGAAAGAAATGAAGCTATTGTGTATTTTTTCTTGTGGAAAATCCTTGCAGATTTTCTGTTTACAGAAGCCAATTTTATAATTCCTTTATAATGTGATGAACAGGCATCTGTGAAAAACAACACAAAATAATGGAAATTCAAAGGGAGAAAATGGACTTGAAAAATAACTAACTTTAGATATGCAAAGAGGTATTAACTAACTGAATTACTAACTCAGACTCTTTCTTCTGAGCTAAAGGGATGTTTCAACAGCTGTGCTAAACATTTGGCTAGCATTTCCCAGATAAACAGTTCTGACTTCAACTGTATGATGGAGAAAAGCGAAAAAGAACAGACTTACAAGTTTAAGTTTTGCAATGCCTGTGGAGTTGCTATGGATTAATAAACTTTCAGATGACCAAAGAAAAGGATATAATAAGGAAAAGATGTTGTGTTGAGTATATCAATACATATTTCACTTGGAGTAATGTCTACAGCTTTACTCACCTATTTAAAAGCACGGTGTAGCAAAAATTGAATAGATTCAGGAGACAGGCAAAGAATATGTACCTGTATAAGAATGTGCATTACTGTTTGGCTTAAAAAATAAAGAGAAGGTATGTAAAATGAGTATATAATCACTGACATACAGAAGAAAAATTGGGATTACTCCTTGTACTATTCTAGCATACAAGAGAAAGAGATGAGAATGACATTGAAAAGCAATCAATCTAAAAAAAAAAAAAAAACCAAAAAAAAACAGGTTGTTTTTTTCTTTTTTTTGGATTTTACAATTCCCCACCTCGGGAAATATGTATATCTGAAAACTCAGGATCAGCCTCTCATAGGGATGATGAGACATCAACGATCACATTAGACAAGACAAAAATAATAAGGGCTGAAGCTAATGAAAATCGAAGAAGAAATTATTGCACCTTCCCCTGAAGCATCTGATAGTCAGAGGTACAACACTGGATTAAATAAACCATGTAGTTTGGCTATGTTACTGTTTCTATTATATTAAGTTTAAAAATTTGTTACATATCCCAGTTAGTCATTAAAATGTGTAACCCTTTTCCACATTGACCAGTGAGTTACAGTAACATTAATGAATAGGAGGACAGAAAAATTATTATTTTCATTGGTCTTAGACACCACTTATACGTGCATGCATATGTATATACATAAAAATATATGATATACGTACATATGCAGACATAAATCCATAACTATATACACACCCAGACACACCTCTTCTGAGAGGTGGGCCACACCAGAAGGTCTGAAGACCATTCTTTACATCCCTCTCTGACACATATTACTGAACACTGCAGGTGTGTGTAGGTATGTTTAAATGTGCGGAAGAAAGTATGAGAACAAAGGGAAGCATGAACCTGAATATGGGAGAAATCACTCACGTTACTGTCATTATTTCAGATCAGTGCTTGAAAACATATTTCCAAATGTATTGTACATTGGCTAAGTTGATTAACAGCCATCAAGAAGAAATACAAAATAATAAAGGGACATTGTGAAAATGATATTTATGTATGCATTTTCTGTTCTTCCCTGTGTTAGTATTAATACAGCATATTCCTGATGAGATGGCAGGATGAGAAATTAAAAGAACTAATTTGATTTCTGCCACATACCCTGTTTATCTGTTCCATGCTTCTGCCAAAATTGAGAGAAAACTTGGATTGTCCAACTCCTTATGGGTTTCCATTTATCAGCTCTAATAGATTAGCTCATTGTAAACTGCTTTTTCCTCAGGCTTGATTAAATCATTTTAGTTTTAGAAAGACCTAAACTTAACGTATACTCTAAGTTGACACTATGTCTTTAAACATAATTAATAATTCCTCAGACACATTGGTAGGAAAATTCTGCCATCTTTTGCACTCATTCACATTAATTCACACCACTTGTCCTCCCCATTTCTCTGGGAAGGCTCTTGAGAACATGAGTGAAACAGACTATCACCTCATCTGATAACAGAACTGCAACTAATCATTCTGAGGCTGCAAACAAATTCCAAACAAAGTAACATAGCTATAAACTACTTGCAGGTATCTAAGATAGCAAAAATCAGCATGATTATATTTAACAGGGTAAATGACAGGATAGGTTTCCATTTCAATGAGGTAAAGTTGTGTATAGGTACCCCCATCCCCAAAATACATCTGTAAGGTCATTATCTGAGATAAAAATAAAAGAGAGAAATAAGTTAATTTTTTAAAAGCTAAAAGTGAAATTACCTTTAAGACTACTGCTACGCAGGAAAAGATTGAGGCGAGCAAAGAGATAGAGAAGAGAACCAGAGAATATTGATAAATGTGTGCTGTCAGCTCTGAGAACCAAGCGGTGGCTGGCATTAGCTGAGTTTCATCTCGCAATGCATGCTCTAGGTGGTCCTTGCTATTTTATTACAAATAAACAATTTATTCCCTAGTTTTCAAATTGTAATGGCCTTATTTGATCAGCTTTGTCTTTTTGGTCCAACTCCATAAATTTTAACATCTTTCTCAGCAGACACAGGCCTACACACTGGATACAAACAGAGACAGAATTACATAGATAGTATGCTGTGCAGAAGCTTCCAAGGAGAGAGAGTACAAGCACCAGCATACAATGTTTCATCTTGATCTGAGCAGCCAGTCTGCCTGCAGGATGCACTGCATGGTGGTTCCTGTAGTCTCTGAACAATGAAATCTCTACAGAGAGAGGACAATTGCCACACTTCACTGCATTTCTATGCAAAGTAGTTGCAAGCCTCCTGGCTCTTCCCAGGTCCCTTGCATTGGCTGCAGGAGGGTGAAGAAGCATTTTTGATGAAATGCACGGCGTTGCCTTTCCATGGCCTTCCAAGCAGCAATGCTTCCAACTCACCCCAGGCAGACACTTCATGAGACAGGTTCCTGGGAGACAGGTCTTCTCACCACTTTTCCTGCCCATCAGCAGCACCTTTTCGCAGAAGCCTCTTCTCCCCTTCTGTCCTGTGGTGAGTGCAGGATTGGGGGTTTCTTTTCATACAGTAATGTTTCTGTGGAGTTATTTTTTTTCATTTTTTTTTCCTAGTTAATATTCATTTGCCCTTGTTATCAAATGTGTTCTCCTGCAATCATCTGAAAGGCCTTATTCAGACCAACATATGTTTCCTTCTTTTCCCTTTTACACCACCTTAAAGGGACACATTTGTTGACATATATACGTAGAAAACGGAATTCATCTTTTACTGAAGTTTTGTTCCAGCCAAAGCCGAACCTCCTGCAGATTGTAGAAGAAGGGGCCTTTGCCTCCCAGATAGGCAATTTTTTGTCTCTGCACAATGCATACTCGCTCAAATGAAACCCCGTAGGCCACATTGGCATTGTTGTCCATGCAGTCAGCTACTACTTGGCACTGAGGTGGCAAAGAAAAGCGCTCTAGGAGCTGGTGAGCAGCAGCGCATCTGTCTTCCTGGTTCCTGTGCTTCTTAACTTCAAATGAAGAGGGAGAGATTCCAGGGGCAGCCCAGCCATCTGATGGGTGAGCCTCATCAATGTAGACCAACAGAAAGTCAGCCACACTAGAGAACTCCTCCACCAGCTTGCTGAAGGCCGACAGCTGGCTTGTGAATGGTGGTCAGGTAGCCGAACCAAAGTTGACGACCAGTGGCCGCTCGGAGTTGGCGAAATCCAGAAGATGGCATTCACCCCTCTTCCAGCTGCTACTGCTGCCATCATTGCCCTTGGCTATGTGGATTACACTGGAGTTTGGGGCTTCTCCTCCCAGTTTGACCTGATAGCAAAACAAATTAAAACATAGCAAATTAGTGTGACTTGCTTGTCCCATGTCCTTATGACTGCTCTCTTCAAACGAATAGTCACCTGTTCAAAGAGGACACCTAACTACCTGCACAGACATTAGCATGAAGATACAGCAGATCATCAACAGCTGCAGCTTCAAAAAGTTCATCTCCACTCAAAGTGCAGGGAA